TTGAACTCGAAAACAATCCGAAGATTCATTGAAAATATTACTTACTGCGAAGCGCTCGGAGTTTACAGATGTTCAAAAGCTTTTTCTGTTATGGCGTGAGATTGAGGACAAAATTGATCATTACGTTTCGTCGCGTGTGTTTTTCCTGTGTGAAGCAACAAAAGATGCCGGCGACTGACGAAATTACAAGTTAACACGAAAATCAGATAACACCTAAACAAACTATTTTAGCTACCGATTTTCAGTGAATTTTTAAAGAACAATTTTCTTTTAAGTTTCAAGACAATTTGAAGATTCAACATACATACAACGTACTAAAATGCGAAAGTTACACACCACAAAATTGATAAATAGGCCTGAAATGAAATTCTATCTTGTTATTGATTATACGTTGCCTAGCACGTGACTTAAATCTACCCAGGCGGAGATCCAAAATGACGGTGGCAGACTTGGCTTAGTTATATCACTCAAAACTCGTTCCAGTTTGTCTGATTTGATAAAGAGGGAATCGTTAATGTTTTTATTAAGACAGTATTGCCTTGATTTTCTAATATTTACAATGAAAGACAGTAAATTTCACTTTTCACCCACATTTAACTTCCAACCTTTTCTTTTAAACCAGAAACAAAAATGATAGACGTTTAAAACACATGACATCATCCACCTTGTCAAATGTAATAGCATGATCATTTCAATTGTAATGCCTTCTTATCCCAACGTTACTTTGTTTCTTTGTTACATTAGCGAATACTGAACTACTGCTCGTACTCTAGATATGACAATCAACCACCAAATTTCCTAAACCAGATAACATTAAACATCATGTGTCAAAATCATGTGTCAATTCACGAGTTTGCTCACAGAGCACTTTGATTTGAATCTTTCCTTGTGAATGAAACTGGATTGAATATGAGTTCGTCAACCGCAGGTCCTGCTGAATCCTCACTTTGTTCATCCAACTTCTTAAGGTACTTACTATTAAATACCAGGGGCCTTCGAAATAAGATCAATGACTTAAGTGCCTTATTGCTAAGGGAATCCTTTGATATTGTTTCCTTAGCGGAGACCTGGTTGATCGTGATTTTATCCTTTACACCACAAATCACATGGGTTCAAAAGTACTCTGGATTTAAAATCCCCAGCGGAGCGGTTTATTACGGCTAGTCGTCAAATGGTTTGTAACCGGTACCAAAACGCTGGAGTTGGTCACGAAATTTAAAAATCTGCGTTAGTATGAACTGGTCTACACGGAACTACGGAAGCCGATAGGGGACAATCCCTTTCTGAGATCCAGAAAAATGTTTGAAATCGCGAAAAAATATTTTGTTAAATTTAATTGCGCATTGTTAGTCTTACTATCATAATTTACTTAAGATAAATTTCAAGTCCGCCTTCTTGAGAAAAAAAAAGTAACTTTTTATAGTTTTCACTTAGATGCCTCATACAACCTGCTTCATGAGAGCCTACTTGTAGGACCGCAATATGTCCAAGTAAAATCCCTAAAATCCTGTTCTGTGCGGCTGATGTTTGTTAGTCATAAACGTTTGATCCACCGTCTCATTAGAGCGGTCAGTTTAGTCAGTAGAAAAAGCCTGACCAAGGGCTTGATACTCTTTGCTTTCCGTAGGTTCTCTTAATTCGTATTATTCGTACTATTCCTTTCATCTTTTTACACCTGTGGTCGAGCTTATATGTTGAAGATATAGTGAACTTTGAAGTAGCTAGAGACATGCGAAATGGTCTATTACGTGAAAAAATACTTCATTAACAAATCATTTTATCCTATTGAAATGCGCGCTGACATAGCATGATGCAAATGTTCGAGGTAATTTATTACCTCTCTGTTGACTTTTTAAAAAATGAATTTGCCGCTTTAAATACAATAAAGACTTTCGTCAGTTTTATCAGACAATTACATTATCATTGTCAAAGTTTTCCTTTAGCTCGCGCTCCAGTGCAGGATAACGACGAAAGCAATATCTCAGCGATTGGTTCGTTGAGATGCACGTGCTTTACATTTGTTGCGTAACAGTGCGAGACACTTCACCCAAAAAGAAAAGCCTTCGGTTAGCCGTGTCTTTTCAAACTCACAAGTTTTTTGCGAGAAACGCCGTTGGAAGAGTTATAAAATGGGATCAGCTTTGAGTTCATTCAAGCCAAAGAGAAAAGGAAGGAAGGTTAGCAAAAGGTAAGGGATTCTTGAGAAGATTTCAGAAAGAACGGAAGCTGAAAAAGATGAAGTACTGTACTTCGTAAAGACGTCTTCAGTTCCTTACGCTTCCTTGAAAGTTTCTTACGCATTCGGTGTTTATTTTTTGGTATTTGATGTTAGATGGTTTGCTAGTCGCTTTGAAATTCTTTTTAGTTTCAGTAGGGTAGTTATGATAAACTTTTGCCATCATCGATCTGTTTTGTTCTTTCCTACAATAGAAGGTTGAGGGAGCAGTTAAAGGAGGCTCAAGAGTGTATCGCTCGACTCCAAGAACAACTGCTGCTTGAAAATAAGTAAGTAACCACTGAATTCTAGTTTGGTTATGTCAAATGAGCATTAAATCATATTTTTCAATTTTTCTCTCTTCAGTTGCTATTAGACTACTATCCTATTTTGACAACAGAAAAATTATCAAGCGACGCCAGACAAAATATATTTTAAGCATTAGAGACTGGTTTTCTCTGTCTTAATCCCTCCTAATACTCTCTGCAACAGTAGACAGAAAAAGACAGAATAGAATCCCGTGAAAATATTTACTTTGAATTTTCTCCACTCATCAGATTTCAAAATGGTTTCTCGCGCGGAGTAATAGTTAGCTTTTCAGTATTTCAAAAAGGCGCTGTTTTGACATTCCTTTGATGTTTTTCGGTAGGTTACTTGATCAGTTTCCAAGTCACCAAAGTGATAACTCGGATACTGTAACCGATGCAATTGAGGCATACTGTGGAATGACAGAAATGGAAAAAGAAATTCAAACTTTGCAGAGAAAACTTTTTTTCGGAGAAGTTGCATTGAAACTTACGCAAGAGAGATGTCAGCTGATGGAGAACAATTACAAGTGAGTGCAAGTGCTCTTTAAGTGCTCTTTAAGTGTTCTTCCCAGGTCTCTCAGGTCACATCAGTTCTCTACCTTCTTTGTACTTACTTGGCATGGAAGAGGGTTTTTAAAATCTCAGTTAAGTATTTAGGGTCTTATGGGTGATCTGCGCTCTTAAAAAGTCGCCTAGTTACTTACCAAAACGTTTCTTTCCTCTAAAGCATCAAAAATTCATCCTGATTTTATGCGATTAGTTAGGATCTCATAGTAACTTTGGTGAAACATTCACGCAGTGGGACACTTTTTCTTCCTAGCATGATAAGAATACCTTCCTTACCACAGTTGGCTTCATTTCTCCACAGCCTTCTCCGAACTAAGGAGAAAAATCTTCTCTGGCAGAGCCTAGCTTGTCAAACAAAACTACAGGATTTGAAATCAAAACACGAGGCCATTCAGTTCTCACGATCTAAAGAGGCAACTCCAGCGGCAAGATGGCTAGCAAGCTCATTACCTAATCTTTACCTGTAAGATATAGAAATTTAAGGAGGTGCTTTTACATTCATGGAAAGAAAAACGTGAAAGAATTTGTGAAAGAAGCTAATTGTCAATTAGTTTCAAGGGCTTCGTAGAAGAGAAGTAGCTAAAGAAAGATTTGATGTACATGCAGTTCGTAATAATTTTATTATTACTATTATCATTATTATTGTATTTAGTCCGTCTTTAGGTGTAAATGAATTAAATGAATTAAAAAGTGTTGTCGTGTGAAAAGCTTGTGCTACATATTCTTTGGTACCTGGTCAACTCGCCACCACCACCAAAAGTCATCTCGCCACCAGTAGCAAATTGACTCTCACGTTATGCGTAGTGTCTCAATTATGGAACGATAACCATTAAAAGCAAGAAGAATAGCGAGTTTCAGTGTTACATGAAATGAAATAAAAAATCTTGATGTCGCGAGGATTTCGTAAAGCGAAGGCAGAGTGAATTCCGCTCAGAGATTTTTGCCGACGTTTATGAAATCGTATGACACGTACAAGGTAAGAATTTGTGGTATATTGTGAAATTTGGCGCGAACAAATCGGGTGAAAGCTTACAGAAAGGGGCTTAGCGTCCCTTCTTTGTGTGAAGCACCACGATGCCAGCAAAATCTGCATCGGTGAAACGGGAAGACCTATACAAGAGTGAATGAAAGAACACAAGAGGGATATACGTTGAGCCCATACCCAGACCTCCGCCGTTTCTGAGAACGCCAACAAGACCGGCCACTACCCGCTTCGGAACGAAGTAAAGACGATGCCCTGAGTCGAAAGCCGATGCCGTAAACGCGAATAAATCGCACAGAATTGAAATGTTTTCCCACATGGGCAGCAATGACACATTTTAATAATGATAGTAATTAGTCGGGTCAAGAACTGCTTTAATTAAAAAAGTGTGATGACCTACAAGCCATATCAAGTTCATCCTGACTTTGTTATCCAGACCACATTCCCAAGCTACTCCTTCAGTTTATTTATCTGTGTTACTAGGGCGAGATGAGTCACTGCTGTTTTTGTTGCCGTTCCAAAATTTTTGATTTCCTATCTATTAAATTTAGTAGTGGTTTCATCTATTACAAAATAGACCTCATGTCACATAATTCCATCAAGAAAATTATATGCAAATTTTTCCAATGAAACTTTGAAACCAATTCCCAATTAATCCTTAAAATAGCTCTCACTACATATGTTACTCATGATTAAAGGGGTAAATTTCTCAAAGAACTGTGGTGCTGCATTGGTGGGAGAGTATAACTGGGTAATTTAGTATTATCAACTGAGTTGATGACGTAAATTGCCCACTGTCAGGAGCTTAAAAGCTGACGTTTCAAGCGTTAGCCCTTCATCAGAGCGATTGTATGGAATTATTTTATAGTATGATTGTGCGTACAGTTATTTGTATAGTCTGCTTTCTCTTACCTTTTTTTCCTCTCCTCAATCTTTTTTACTATCAGTCCTCAATCACTCTGACAAAGAGCTAACACTTGAAACATCAGTCTTTCAACTCTTTATGGTGGCCAATTTACGTTGTCAATTCACTTGACAGTTGATAATACTTGATCAAGTCAGCGGTCTTCTTTTAGTTGATTACAGGAAAGCTTTTGATATGGTTGACCGTGAAATTCTTTTGCAAAAGCTGAATGCCTATGGTTTAACTCCAGTTGCAAGTAAATGGTTTAGTTCATACTTGACTGATAGACATCAATTTATTGCTATTGATAATGTGACATCTGACTCTACTCTTGTGAGGCATGGTGTTCCACAGGGTAGTATCCTTGGCCCTTTACTTTTTGTCATTTATATCAATGATTTGCCTCTACATGTTAATGGTGCTGACCTGGATCTCTATGCTGATGACACCACACTGACATTATCGGCAGATATCTCAGCGGTTGATTCTCTACAAGATTCACTAGCTGCTTCTTTGAAGGAAATTGAATGCTGGACGACACCAATAAACTTCCTCTCAATGAAAAAAAAGACTAAAACACTACTGGTCACAGGCAAACGCCTTGGGAAGAAACTACCAGATGGTTATAATTTATCTCTTAAAACTATGAATGGTGTATCATTGGAACAAGTACCCTCAGCTAAACTTCTTGGTATAGACATTGACCACGATTTATCAATGAACACTTATGTTGACAGACTGTGTAAAAAATTTCACAAAGAATTGGAATTTTGAATAAGATCAAACTTTGTTTACCATTTAACCAAAGACTTTTATTTTATAATAGTTTAATTAAGCCATTATTTGATTATGCCAATGTTGCATGGCAGTCACTTTGCTCTAATGAATCTCTTTTAAGAATACTTAGGCTACAAAAGAGAGCTGCTAGGGTTTTATTAGATGCTGAACCACGTAGTTCATCAGTTATGCTATTCAATCGTTTAAAGTGGATACCATTTTATGACTCTACTAAGATGGCTAAATGTTCAATACTATTTAAAAGGATTAATTATTGTGTACCTAATTATCTTAATGATAGCTTAAGATTATTAAGTTCAGTACATTCACGCAACACTAGATTTTGTAAATACAACTTTTTATTACCTAAGTTTAAAAGGGCTAGAGAAGGAGGGAAAACTTTTCTAGTTTCTGCCATAAAATTATGGAATCAGTTAAAGCCTGAATTAAAAAAGTCTAATACACTTAAGGCCTTTAAAGACAACGTATTTAAATATTACTATAAGGACCAATCATGCTTAGCTCATTTTAATCCGTAAATTTTATTGATAGTAGTTTTATATATTCTTACTTGTTTTAGCTAATTTTCTATTTATATTTCATTCTATTAATGATTCTATTGTATTTATATATTTATTGTAATTAGGAGGACCACAAGTTTATTAGTGTTTGTGCACTATCACGTGCTATCCTCAATAAATAAAGTCTTCAATTCAATTACCCTACATGTGTTACTCAGTGTAATTAATAACTTGTCCTCAACTTCTGGAACATATCACTGATTTTAAATGTTTTCTCTCATAATGGCCACACTCTTAGCATGCTCCACATCAATCTCAACAAAAATTCATATTAAGTAAGATAGATGATTGGATGATTTTTAATAGTCAATACCCATGTTCAACATCCACCTCAAACTTGAGCTTTTCCCCAGCTTCAAACAACAAAAGGTTTTCAGCAAACAACTCTGCAACCTTAAAAACAAACAAATCAAAACATATATCAATAAATACTGGTAAGTAAAAGATAAAAGAAAATTAAGAGAAAATACCAAGCTCAAACAGTACAGTTATTTTTTTTCATCTGTTAAATTATAAACCTGTTTTGATTTAAAAACTTTGCTTCTGAGTTACAACTACACGTATCAGATATTCAGACAATAAACTAGCTTCACATGACAAACATTCTTTTCCAGCTAGGATTTAAATATTGAACAAAGCTGCTACATAATGGTAAATGACAATAGCAGGTTTTATAATCCACAACGACTAATGCTCACCAGGTGACAAGATAAAGAGAGAGGTCTCTGTGAAGAATTCTTTTGTACTTAGTGCTCCCAAAACAAGTCTTTACAACTCGTTTATTGCCTTAATCATTGCACAAATCCAAAGCGGTGTGAGTTTGTGCAACTTCTTGCGCGACCAAAATTCTGTTGCAAAGACATTTAAATTTTAACCATGTTGCAACAACTTGTCACCTGGTCTTCACTCTTTCAAGCTCATGTTCAATTTACCTCTTCTGGAAATGCAATTGCTGCAATGTGAGGTGTGATTATCACTTGAGGCATTTTCCACAAAGGACTTTCCTTTGGTAGTGGTTCAACTTCACACACATCTAAAATAGCACCTGATATCCACCCTTGATCTAATGCATATATTAGACTTTTTTCATCTATTACATCTCCTCTGCCAACATTAATGAAAACAAGACGCTTGTCTTTACCACTCTCAAGTACTCTTCCAGATAAAAGATACTTTGTGGCAGGTGTACTTGGTAATAAGTTACATACATAGTCACATGACTGTAGAACTTCAGGAAGTCTTGATATAGTTGTATAGTGGTCAACTGTATCTTGTCTATCCGACTTTTCACGACGCCCAACACCCCAGACAGTCATACCAAGAGCTTTGCACATCTTTGCAACATACTCTCCAATGTCTCCTAGTCCAAGAATACCAATGGTCAGTTTTGGCATCACACGGTAAGAATAGTGATCAGTATTCCTTGAAAAACAATTAAAAGTCTTGTGATTAACACAAAAAATTAAACATCATGAACACATTTCATAAAAATGAATTCTGATGATTTTCCTTACATAATGGTTTTTTTTTCAAATAATTTTATTCAAAGTGATGACAAATGTAAATATGTCTCTCAAAGGTAGTAAAGTTATGCTCACGCCACTAAAAGTTACATTTAACCATTGGATCACTTTAACCTTTTCACCCCCGAGAGTGACTAGCATATAATTTCTCCTTACAATATCACCCCTAAATAAACCATTAGGATCACACGAATAAAGAAAATGATCTCCAACGGAATAGGCTCTTGGTTATGAAACAAATTCTCCCTGTTAGCACCTTACAAAATGTGAAGATAACAGTACTGAGAATATGTATACTGATGTTAGGGTATTAATAGCCCTTTAACTGTAGGAGTAACTAGCATCCAATTTCTCCTTACAGTATCATTCCTGAAACAAACATCAAGGTTATGAGAATGAATCAAAATGATCAAAAACGAGAGAAGCTCTTGATTGTCTGACAAATTCTCTTTGATAGTAACATAGGAAATGTTTAAAGATTAGTAATTGGAGACTATGCAGACTGGCGTTAAAGTGTAAAGGGTTAATACCACATGCAAACTGACTAAGGTTACAATTTCAATTTGTGATGCTCTCAATTATTGTCATGAGGGCCACCTTTGACGGAAAACAATAAAACAGGGATCAAATAAATATCGTAAAATCGTCTGTGATGTATCTTCAACTCCTCAGTTTCTTTGCTATCAGTGAGCATAATGATATGTAATACTCAGGCCCCAGTTGTTCAAAGTGTGGATGATGCTATCCATTAGATAAATCTCACTCTGGTAGATATGTATAATTAATACGTATATGCTGGAGAGCAATTTATCTGTTTGAACAATTAGGCCCAGAAGTACCAAAAGATTACCAATATTTATGATACATTATTTGTAAGACCTTACATTTTCACTCACTGACCCAAGAAATAGTTAATCTTAATAGATGAAGGTGTGCTACAGTCAGGGCAAACGTATAGTTTCCTACCAGTCGCATTTCTGTTGATTACTCCATAATTTTCTGAAATCCCTCTCCCAAGAGGCAATTTGACCAATAACATACTGAGCCATAGCAGGACCAAAGACACCGCCAAATCTTGTTACCTTCAGTGAGGTGTTTTGCTGAGATAAGATATATGGAATAGCTTTATCTATTCCAGCCCAGGTCAGCTGCATCCATTCAAGTTTGGAAAGTTTGGATAAATGTTGTGGTGCAGTGTCTGGATCAGCCAGTAATATTTTAGCCTCTTGTAGCTTCTCCACCTCTGTATGCAGACATGATTAAGGGCAATAATATCTTTAGAATTCATTAGGAATCATTAAACTGTGTTAAAGGCACATAACCAATGCAATATGCTGACAGGATATTGATGTAACAATGACTAAACTACAGTATTTTATCCTTTGCAAATTTGAGTACTCTAGTAGACAAAAAAAATTAAATTAAGAACAAATTTAGCTATATGCAATTAAATCCCATCCAACTCAAAATAATGCTGCTGAGGAATGCATCTGTTACATTGCATCACCATGGCTGTTTGAAAGTAACAGCTTTCCCTCTAGGCTTTTTACTAGCAGTATAGAGTTATGTTCAGGTCTCAATGTTTCCAAACTACAACAGCCTTACTTTGCCTACCAGTTGGTCAATTACATTGCAGTCAAAGGGAAATATGTATTCTCTATATATTTAGTCATGAAATATGTAAATTAAAATGTCTCAATCCTGTATGTCAAACACCCCGATCTAATGCGGTAATGAAATACAGAGGCGTGCTCAATTAAAAATACCCCAACTAAGATGTTTTTACACCTTCAAATACAAATGAAGTCGATGACTTCTTTAAATTCATGGGGTAAACGCTATGAATACACTCCCAACGCTCCCCTGCTTCTCCAACTTAAGTCCTTCACCTGTTCGGGGCCGGGCCATGAAGTGTGTTGTAATGTGGGCCGAGAACAAGAACACCCTTGCTGATTGAAATGATGGGTTTAAAATTTTAAATCATGCTAATTTACCTCCAGTGCATCCAACAGGAACATTGATAAAGGTTATTTGAGGTAAACGTTTTGTAAGATCGTCTACTAAGTTGGGAATAACAGAAGAGATGTGAACAGTCTTCACAATTCTACGTAAGCACGCAGACGCCATGTTTCGAAATTAGGGCGGAGGGAAGTTTGGCACGAGTCCCATCTCCTCGATCGAGAAGTGGGTTTTTTCATGAAGAATAGTGTCTTTGAGAGATTCTTGGAAACTTAACGTTATCGATAGCCGATGTTTAATCCTTCACCAACACTTCAATTTAATATGGTAGAGATTTCATTGGTTCAGCCATCGCTGAATATCAGCCGGCATAATGGGCCTCAAATGGAATGTATTTACTCAGTAGACCAAGAACGGTTGTTCCAAATGCGACTTATCTGATCATTCGTGGTTTGTTAGTGTTTGATTCAGTTTTGCAACTCCATAAAGAGGTTTCTACCATCTACATTCTGTAGATTAGAGATGATTGGAGGCAGTTTCCGTTAAGTGGGCATGTGTTCTTCTGTCGGAAGTTGCAAGTTTTGGTGTCTTTTGTGTTGGTGTTATCTGCGGTGTCATTGATGTGTTTGGATGAATTTAGAATGCATTTGTTGTGGTTGTCGATGATCTGTTTAGTGTTATTCATGCAGCTGTAACTGATCTTGATTGTGTTACGATTAAAGATTTTCTAAGGTTGTGGTCTTTCAGGAAGTGCTTGTCTACTAGGGCAAGGAATCTGTGTCCCATATTGGTGCTAACGTTTTTGCTGAATGAGGGGTTGTACCAGAAAATGTTGTTCCGTTGTCTGTTTTTTCGGTTGTTAGTCGTGGGTGGTTCGTAGTGTAGAGTGTACCGGTATCCGCAGTATCCTCCCCCTCCCCCGCACCTTGGGGGAGGGGGAGGATTAGGGTACGGTTATACGTAGGCCACCTAGGGATCCCTGCGATATTTCAATTCGTTTATCACGCATTCTTCTCGCTAACATTTGAGTTTAGCGGCTATTCGAGAACAGTGGAGGCGCGTAACTGCCGTTCAGATCGAAGAGAAACCGGAACCCAAATAGGTTAAATAGGAAAATCCGAAAATCGTATCGGATATCAAATCCGAAAGCCCGTTAGTATTTTTCGTGAAAACTGAAAACCAAATGCTAAAAGACGGAAAATCCGCAAACCGCGATGAACCAAAACCGAAAAACACACAAAAACCGAAAAGCCCATCTAAAAAATAGCCAAAACCGCAAAACCGAAAATCCCAATGCCCCCCTCGCGAAGGGCTGGTAGTTGTTCTTGTTTGGGTTGAAAGTGACGTCTAAGAAATTGATGGTCTGTTTGTTGGCTTCGATGGTGATATGTAGTCCGTTGTGATTGAAGATGCGGCATATTTCTTTTTTGATGTTTTCTGTGTCTCTCGGTGTGGTGTTTGAAATGACCAGTCCGTCGTCTCTGTAAAGTCCAATGTTGATGTTGAGTTCTTGCAGTTGGGAAAGGAGGAAACTTCCCGCTAGCTCGCATGTTTCGGCACCGTCGTAACTGCCCATTGTATGTATATATATATATATATATAGGAAGTCTGCAAGTCGATTTTCGCGTGGAACAGTGCTCAATACGTTGAAGCAGAGCAGAATAAATATTATGAGAGGAAAAAAGGACGCAACTACATTTCCCGACAAGCCTGTTTCGTGAATCGCTTCACTCTGAAGAGTGAAGCGATTCACGAAACAAGCTTGTCGGGAAATGTAGTTGCGTCCTTTTTTCCTCTCATAAAATATATATATATATATATGTTTTTTTTATTTATACAACATATATAAAATATCAAGTCCAACCTTTAAGTTCTTGATAAGCACTAAATGTCTTTCAAATAATCAGTCCCTTCGTGTACTTCGATACATGTTCCTTGTTGGGTACGATATACAAAATGAATATGGTAAACGAGACAGGTGACTGAAGAGTGAAAAGAGTTGGGTTGCAGAACTTCATCGTGACCACTTCTAGTTATTTCTTTTAGTACTCTTCCGCATTAAAGAAATAAGTTCTAACTCAAGAGGAGCAGCGAAAATTAGATTTCGCTCAACGAAAATCGGTTATTCCCAACTGTGGGTGAAAATTTTGATTTCCTTTCTTATTTTTTTATAATATCGTCCATTTATTGATTCGCACCGTAAAATTAATTTAAACGTCACAAATCTTCACGGTGGTTCTAATTTGTAATCACATACAGTACAACTTTGAATTACATCCGCGTGCGAGATAGACGAAGGATAGAAGGAAAGAAATGTATTTTAATGATGGAATCATAAAGAAAACTAATCCAAAGATTAATATAAAGGAGGCTCTTAGCGAGCGAACTGCAGACTTAAGATTGAGACATTTGGAGCGACAGTATTCCTTCGGCAATTTAGTCCAAGACTGGCTCGATGAAAAAAGACGGGTGAGTGTTTTTTTTTTTTGTGAAAGATGATGAGGTCTGATGTAAAGGCTTTACTTGATTTATAAATAGGTGGTCTTCTTCCTTTTTGAATATGCATTAACTAATAAGCACATACAAAAAAATTTGCAGATTTCCAAGAGGCACCTCATTGAACCGAAATATGAGAAACTTTTCATTGCATTCAATTCTCGATACAAGGATAGACCGTTACAAATGCACAGTCGAATCTTGATAACTCGAACCTTCAAGGAAAATTGTAAGAGGTTCGAGTTATCGGGTGTTGAAACCAAAGGATCGGAAACGAAAAATGGAAAAACGGTTTTTACTGTTTTTTTACTCAACAGTATACATTTTAATCAAATTTTATAATAGAGAAGTCGAGTGAGAATAGAACACTAAATCATTGCAGAATTCACAACGTAACGTAAATAATATATATAGAGAATGACCTGAAGGGAAACGAAAGCTGCCTCGAATTGGCGGAAGGTTCGAATTATTGAGGGTTCGAGTTACCAAGGGTAAAAATACAATACATGTATGACGGAAATCCAGGGGAAATCGATTTTGGTTCGAGGTAGCGCGAGGTTCGAGTTAACAAGGGTTCGAATCATCGGCAATTGACTGCATAACCCTTTATAATGCAAAAGTGATCAAGCTAGTATTTCACTGCATAAAGTTTGTTTTGTGTTGTTTTACGAAGTTCGCGATGTTTTTTTTGTTCGTATTGTTGACTTGAAATATCGCTCTCAGGTTTCGGTTAGATTTGACAATAAAAATGTTGTTTCATTCAAGTCAAGGGCAGGAAACAAAAGCGAAATCATTTACGTAAATAAAAAATACAAAATGTTTCGCAAAATCTTGAGCCGAACTATCGCGAAATGTTTACTCTTCTCTCTTCAAAATCGCGAAGTAATTTGTTGTTTAAGAGGATAACTTACACTGGATTATCCGCACAACAATGTGTTAATAATACTCCTACTTGCTCCATGCTGGGAAAAATGCAATAACTACAGGTAGTTATTTACAATCAAGCTTTCATCTTTCTTGTAGCAAGTTTGTCTTTTGTCTTGTCAGCTACAAAAGAACAAGATTATTGAAAATGGAATTTACAGTAGGTACCACCTCCCTAAGCCCTTCACAGATTTACCAAAGATGAAAACCTCTCATGCATATATGGTAGGTATATTTTCAAGGATATCTCCAGTTACCATAGCGGTTTCTTCATAATTTTGTTTTCCTTGAATGGCTAACGACCTATTAGAGGACAGACTGCCCCAAATCTCTTGGGCTTAGTTGTTCCAAGGCCGACTAGTGCTAACTCAAGGTTAGAGTTAAATTTTAACACCGGTTTCTTTAATCCTTTATTGAAAAGCCCTTTCCAGATAATTTTCTCCGTTCTTTTTTAAAGCACCCAATCATCAAATTGTAGACAAAAAGAACTGTACTGAATTTTCTTACAAAACTTTCAGAACTGAGATTAGATTTCACACGAACCCTAGGTTCTCTTAACCCATTCTTGAACCACCAGGCGCTGATCTGACCTTTTACATTTCTAACTCTGATTGGGCTAGAATGCACAGATTAAGTAAAATAAGGTTGATTCGATGATACCAAAGAGAAATAAAGACAAACTTCCTTCAACAGAACTGCAGAGATGTATGATTGTTATTGTTAGAAAGCCAGCAGCCATGTTTGAAATTGGTATCATCGACATATTTAGGACAAGTGTGGGTGGGTTTGTGTGTTGGGTATTTTCCCCAAAGATCATACGATTACATCCAAGTGTATAAAATGCTCCTTTTTTCAAAAAAAATTTCAGAACAAACCTCCACCTTGTTCTCGTAATAACTTGTCACAAGAGAACATGAACTACTTGTCAGTCATGATTTCCCTCTATATGTGTTTCAGAGGAAATGTAATCTCAAGGTTGCGGACGAAAAGTTTCCAGCCAGAAAGGAATTTTACAACAAAGAAGTTAAGAAGACTTGTAGGTCTCCAGTATGCATACCAGTTGCAAATCAGCTCTACAAACTTCGTTACAAACACAGACCTCACTTCACCAGATATCCAAACTGATGTGTATCAGAGAGAATGCCCACTATGAAAACCACCCCAATAATTTTTCTTTTTAAATGATAAGTAAAGAAATGTTGAATGTGAAAAGTAAGCTCTAAATTAAATCTTAGAAAATTCTGAAATGCAAGCTGTTCTTTCAAAACATATAAGTTGTCGAAATGAGTTGTTCTATGTCTTCTTGAGTATTAGTTTCCTTCTTCTTTTTTAAATTTTGGATGTTCTTTTTATCAAAATATTATTTCATATATATGTGCCTGAGATAATTTGTTGCATGCTCCAAATTCTAGCTCAATTCCTGGGCAGTTTACTTTTCAGTTGTTCTAATCATTGCACTTTCATCTAACTGTATACTCACTGTTTATTTCTGTTAGTGGCACTAATAGATCGGAAAACAATGATAACTAAGTGAAAAAAACCATAATAACATAAAGAGGGCCCTAACTGAGAAGAAAGTAAATTCACTCAAATATTTCTTTATTTTATTTTGCTCTGGTTTGGTAACACGATTCTTTTTAACATTCATACATTTTCTTATAAATATAGAAGAAGCGAATTTATTCTCTTAATAATAAAGTTAGTTTATGCATTTTTTCCTGCAAGTAACTGCAGATTCAAATCAATCAAGTGACTGAATATGCG